AAATTGCTTGAATGCAAGGCGGCCAGAAATATTAATGAGGGACTCATCAACGCAGATTTTTTGCTGGGGAGTATGGGCATCTGCAAATTTTTGGTTAAGGTGATTTAAGAGGGGCTAAATTTTGTGGAGCCGGTCAAATTCAGGGTCACCTCAAGGATGACAGAGTGTATTATCATTGAAATGCATAGAACACATTATACTCTCATATCTATGCCTGGCCATGGCAGCAGAGAACACGGGCATATGATGAATCGGGTCTGTGGACCAATACAACCGCAATTAATTTTTTTTTAGTAATGCCCAAGCTGAGGGTTAGGTCCAAAAAAATTTAAATTCGGAAACCATAATGGGTTTCCATGCGAATTGTCTGGCAAGGTATGAATTTGGGTTGGCGGCGATAAATTGTTGTGCATATAAATTGCTTTGATCCACAATCAATGCATACAGATCTTCTGTGAAAAACAGCTCCAAAAATCAAGGGGAGTAGTTAAATTTGCTGTTTCCACTTGAATTACGGGTAGGGCAGTGAATGGGGGAAGTACGGGTGCTGCAGAATTTGTGGGCTGCCAATTGGGATTTGCAAGCACATCCGGAAGGATACTAGGGGCTCTATGGGCCTGTGTGCGAATTCTTGGTGGTTGCAGGACAATACTTGTGCTCGCCACCGTACCAGCTTGTACTGCACTTATGGGACTCGCCACGTCACCAAGTGATACTGCAGTGCTGTTATCTGAAAGACCAGGATGTACTAGGCCGCTGGTACTCGCCAGTTCACCAAAAGTTAGCGTGGCACTAGTACTGGCATTCTGCTGCATATGAGAGTCATCAAAATTTACCGGCAAGTCCTAACAGAGATCAGGCCTGATTCTGCCAACACTGCGGTTTTGTGTGCAATGTATCAAGTGACCGTGTATATAAAAGACAAAAGGAGGGCGCATAGGCCTAGTGCATTACCTTTAAAAACTGAATTTTATAGTAATATAAATAAAATTTTATAGTAATATAAATAAAAATAAATTTTTATTTCCATTTTACGTCCTTTTTTTCCCCACAAATTGAGCTTTCTTTCGGTGGTATTCAATTGCCTGTGCGTTTTTTTTTTTATTTTTTGCGCTATAAAAAAAAGACCGACAATTTTGAGAAAAAAAAACAATATTTTGAGCTTTTTGCTATAAAACATGTCCAGTAAAAAAATTGAAAAATCAAATTTCGTGATAAATTTCGGGCAAAATGTATTCTGCTCTGTGTCTTTGCTGACAAAAAAATCGTGATACGTGGAAATTAATTGGTTTACCTGAAAGTTATAGCGTTTACAAATGGTGGTGTAGATACTGGATTTTTTTTTTTTTCTCATACTAATAATAGCGGCGATCAGCGACTTATGGCAGCAATCAGCGACTTCTAGCGGGACTGCGGCGGACATTCTGACACTGGGGGGGGGGAACTGATTTGGGGTTACTGATATCCCCAGTGACACTAATACAGTGATCAATGCAAAAAAAAAAAGCACTGACACTGTACTAATGGCGCTGGGCAGGAAGGGGTTAACAATGACAGGCAATCAAAGGGTTCACTGCCTCAGGAGAGTGTTTCACTAGGGGGTGGGGGTGTGTGCTTCACTGTAAGCACACTGATGGAGATGGCTCAGCTCATACATCTCGATCAGTGTGCTCAAACTGACAGGGAGGAGACTGCATTGTAAACAATGCAGCTCTCCTCCTTGTCAGTGTTTGCGGGCAATCACCGGGCTCCGGCAGGTAATCACCGGCCAGGACTCAGAGATTGACTCCAAGTGCCGCGATCGATAGCGCGGTTGGGGCGGGCGTGTGCGCCCCCTACCCCGAATTGCAGCACAGGGGCCGCCTTGTAGCAGTATATGTACTGCGGGCGGTCCCCTAGTGGTTATAACTTATATTTGCCAACCATTTCATTGGTTTAGGGTGATGGTCTGATTGATATGAAAGTTAAAGCAGAAGAAGAGCCATATGTGAGAGATGATCAGTCCATGGAAGAGGCTGCCATGATGGTGCCAATTAACCACTTGACCTCCTGAGGATTTACCCCCCTTAATGACCAGGACTCTTTTTGCTACTCGGTGCTGCACTAATTCAACTGATAATTGTGCAATCATGCAATGCTGCACCCAAACAAAATTTACGTCCTTTTTTTCACACAAATAGAGCTTTCTTTCGGTGGTATTTGATCACCTGTGCGCTTTTTATTTTTCACACTATAAACAAAAAAAGGCCAAAAATTTTGAAGAAAAACGATATTTTTTACTTTCAGCTATAAAAAATATATAGTAAACTCAAAGTTGGTTATAAATTTAGGCCAAAATGTATTCTGCTACATGTCTTTGGTAAGAAAAATCCCAATAAGTGTATATTGATTGCTTTGTGTGAAAGTTATAGCGTCTACAAACTATGGTATAGATACTGCAATTTACGCCATTTTTCTGCTATACAGCGCTGCACTAGTTTAACGGACAATTGCGCAGTCATGCAAAATGGTACATAAATGAAATTTACATCCTTTTTTTCCCCACAAATTGAGCTTTCTTTCGGTGGTATTTGATTGCCTGTGCGGTTTTAATTTTTTGCGCTAAAAAAAAAAAGGCTGACAATTTTGAGGAAAAAAAACAATATTTTGGACTTTTTGCTATAAAACATGTCCAGTAAAAAAAAATTTAAAATCAAATTTAGTCATAAATTTCAGCCAAAATGCATTCTGCGACATGTCTTTGCTAAAAAAAAAACCCAATACGTGTAAATTAATTGGTTTACGTGAAAGTTATAGCGTTTACGTATGGCGGGAAAGATACTGGGATTTTTAGTTTTTTTTTATATTAAATAATGGCGATCAGCGACTTATGACGGCGATCAGTGACTTATAGCGGTGATCAGCGACTTATGGCGGGACTGCGGCGGACATTCTGACATTGGGGGGTACTGACTTGGGGTAACTGACATCCCCAGTGACACCAATACAGTGATCAGTGCAAAAAAAAAAACACTGACACTGTACTAATGGCACTGGGGAGGAAGGGGTTAAGTTTATTATTCAGGGAAAGGGTTAACTGTGTGAGGGGAGTGTTTTACTAGGGGGCGGGGGTGTACTGCAGGGAACACAGCTGATCGGGAGAGAGAAACTCTTCTGTCCCAATCACCATGTCCAGGGAACTGACGGAATGCACAGCTACTGCAGATGTGCTCTGTCAGCGATTGCCGCCGATCGCCGGGACGTAGCCGGTAACGACCGGCTGTGACCCGGCGACTGATATCCGTGGCTGTGATCGGCGGGACAGATAGGGCAGCGGCGCGCCTCACGCGCGTCCCCTACCTGTTTTCAAAACACATGTTTTAAAACGTGCTTTTGCCCAGCCGTGCCGCCCTGCCGCCATATTTCTACAGTGGCTGGGCGGCATGTGGTTAAAGAGAAGGAATCTTTTCATGTCATGATGGACAATCAGCCGCCCCTCACTAAATTGTTTCCTTGTATATAGTTCTATTTATGTTATTTTTAGAAAAAAATACATTTTCTTTTCTGTTATTTGCTGATTTAAGCTTTTATTGGTTTTGTTTATATAGATATATATTCATTTTTATTCTTGTATATATGCAAGTATGCTTTTATTAATGAGCTGAATGTTTGCAAGATTTTAAAATTTAAACTCTAATGTCCCCTCCCCCACATTCACACACTACTATTATTATACATTTATATAGCTCTGACATATACCGCAGAGTTGTACAGAGAACACTGAGTCAGTCCCATCAGTCTCTGTACCAGAGGAGCTTACACTCTAATGTCCCCTCCCCCACAGTCACATCAGTCTCTGTACCAGAGGAGCTTACACTCTAATGTCCTCTCCCCCACAGTCACACACTATTATTATTATATATTTATATAGCTCTGACATATACCGCAGCACTGTACAGAGATCACTGAGCCAGTCACATCAGTTATTATCTTACAGAGACGAGCGTTCTGAACGGATCACAACCACCTTGATCAGGATGGATGAGAAGTGGAGTCACTTGACCAACAAGATATTAAAGCTCACCCTAGAGATCATTTACCTGCTGACCGGAGAGGTGAGGAGGATTCTGGGAGGTCACATGACATCACTCCTATCTCTATTAATAAACACAGACCTAACCGGAGAGGTGAGGAGGATTCTGGGAGGTCACATGACATCACTCTTATCTCTATTAATAAAACACAGACCTGACCGGAGAGGTGAGGAGGATTCTGGGAGGTCACATGACATCACTCTTCTCTATTAATATAACTCAGACCTGACCGGAGAGGTGAGGAGTATTCTGGGAATAAACAGCTGATAGTATTTCTTTTCAATAGGAATATGAAGTGATAAAAAAGACATATAATAGGGAAGTGACACCCAGCAGCTGTTTCCATATACCATCGCCATCCCATTCTCTTGGACCTAGGGGAGATGACCACAAGATTCTAGAAGTCACCCAGAAGATGATGGAGCTGCTGACAGGAGAGGTGAGCGGTGCCGGGAATTCTGGGACATTCTCAAGTAACAGACAAGGGATGTGTCTGGATGGTGACTGTAGCATTGTGTGTGTCAGGTTCCTATAAGGTGTCAGGATGTCACTGTCTATTTCTCCATGGAGGAGTGGGAGTATTTAGAAGGACACAAGGACCTCTACAAGGACGTCATGATGGACAATCAGCCGCCCCTCACATCACCGGGTAAGAGGAGACTTTATTGCAAAGGGGAGAGCAGTACTGAGGGTCCACCTAAATCCCCCATCATTTGATAAACACATAGAAACAATGGATTCAGTCAGTGTGTGTGTTTCCTACAGATGGATCCAGTTATGGGAACCCACCAGAGAGATGTCCCCATTCTCTGTATTCCCGGGATTCCACACAGGAAGGTCAAACCATCCCTCACCATCAACAGGTAGGTGGAACCAGTAATGGGAACCCACCAGAGAGATGTCCTCGTCCTCTGTATTCCCGGGATTCCACACAGGAAGAGCACACCATCCCTCACCATCATCAGGTAGATGGATCCTGTAATGGGAACCCACCAGAGAGATGTCCCCATCCTCTGAATTCTCGAGATTCCACACAGGAAAATCACAACTATACACGCTGTTATCAGGTTGGTTGGAGCATTTGTTCCGCAACAGCTGGAGGGCCGTCAGTTTGACACTCCAGATCTAGAACATGAACATGACTCAACAATTCGAGACAGTTTGAGAACCCTACAAAATATTTGATTTGTGATCTTGCTTGATTAAATCTTATATTTGCCAAACATTTCCTTGCCTTTAGGGTGAAGATCTGACAGATATAAAAGCCGAAGGTAAAGCAGAAGAAGTGAAATATGAAGAGGATGTCACTGTAGTTCCAGTTAAAGAGAAGGAAGCCTTTGATGTCATGATGGACATTCAGCCACCCCTCACATCACCGGGTAAGAGGAGACTTTATTGGAAAGGAGAGAGCAGTACGGAGGGTCCACCTAGATCCCCCATCATCTGATAAACACATAGAAAACATAAATTCAGTCAGTGTGTGTGTTTCCTACAGATGGATCCAGTCATGGGAACCCACCAGAGAGATTTCCCTGTCCTCTGTATTCCCCGGGTTCCACACAGCAAGAACACACCATCCCTCACCATCATCAGGTAGATGGATCCAGTCATGGGAACCCAACAGAGAGATGTCCCCGTCCTCCATATTCCCAGGATTCCACACAGGAAGATCACACCATCCCCCACCATCATCAGGTAGGTGGGACTAAGGAACTAGAACCTTAAAAAGATTTCTAAGCTGAGAGGACATTTTTCTATGTTATTTGTTTTTCATAAATGTATTCCATCATCTTTGGGGTTTAGGGTGAAGAACTGAAAGACATCAAAGCTGAGATTAAAGAGGAAGAAGAAGAGATGTCAAAGAGTGGAGCTCCGCAGACTATAGAGGAGAGTGGTCCTCTTTATTCCCGGGATTCCACACAGGAAGGTCACACCATCCCTCACCATCATCAGGTAGATGGATCCAGTAACGGGAACCCACTAGAGAGATGTCCCCGTCCTCTGTATTCCCGGGATTCCACACAGGAAGATCACACCATCCCTCACCATCATCAGGTAAATGGTTCCACTAATGGGAACCCACCAAAGAGATGTCCCCATCCCCTGTATTCCCGGGATTCCACACAGGAAGGTCACACCATTTCTCACCATCATCAGGTAGATGGATCCAGTAATGGGAACCCACCAGAGAGAAGTCCCCGTCCTCTGTTTCCCCAGGATTCCACACAGGAAGATCACACCATCCCTCACCATCATCAGGTAGGTGGGACAGAGAGTCTAGGATTTAAGAGAAATTGCTAACACTCAGATTGTATTTTTTTTTTTTACTATCTTCTCCCATTCTGTTGGTTTAGGATGAAGAACTGACTTACAAAAAAGTTGATGTAAAAGAGGAAGAGACGTATGCAAGAGATGATTGTCAGTCTACAAAGGAGTCTGGGACCATTACAAAGGACAAACCTTCTGTCCAAATCAGCACAGGTACAGAACAGCCACTTCATGCAGTAATGGTTCCCATTGTCATCTCACTGATACACTCATACCGTGACAGAATCTGTAAGATGTGGACCATATTTCACCTCCTTCCAGTTTGGACACTTTCACCCCCTACCGGTCCGGACGCTTTCCCCCCCTTCCAGTCCGGACGCTTTCCCCCCCTTCCAGTCCGGACGCTTTCCCCCCCTTCCAGTCCGGACGCTTTCACCCCCTTTCAGTCCGGACGCTTTCCCCCCCTTCCAGTCCGGACGCTTTCACCCCCCTTTCAGTCCGGACGCTTTCCCCCCCTTCCAGTTCGGACGCTTTCCCCCCCTTTCAGTCCGGACGCTTTCCCCCCTTCCAGTCCGGACGCTTTCCCCCCCTTCCAGTCCGGACGCTTTCCCCTCCTTCCAGTCCGGACGCTTTCCCCTCCTTCCAGTCCGGACGCTTTCCCCCCTACCAGTCTGGACACTTTCACCCCCTTCCCAGTCTGGACACTTTCACCCCTTCCCAGTCTGGACACTTTCACCCCCTTCCCAGTCTGGACACTTTCACCCCCTTCCAGTCCGGACACTTTTCACCCCCTTCCCAGTCTGGACACTTTCACCCCCTTCCAGTCTGGACACTTTCACCCCTTCCCAGTCCGGACACTTTCACCCCCTTCCAGTCCGGACACTTTCACCCCCTTCCAATCCGGACACTTTCACCCCCTTCCTGTCCGGACACTTTCACCCCCTTCCCAGTCCGGACGCTTTCACCCCTTCCAGTCCGGACGCTTTCACCCCCTTCCAGTCCGGACGCTTTCACCCCCTTCCAATCCGGACGCTTTCACCCCCTTCCAGTTCGGACGCTTTCACCCCCTTCCCAGTCCGGACGCTTTCCCCCCTTCCAGTCCGGAAGCTTTCACCCCCTTCCAGTCCGGACGCTTTCCCCCCCCTTTCCTGTCCGGACCCTTTCACCCCCTTCCCAGTCCGGACACTTTCACCCCCTTTCCAGTCTGGACACTTTCACCCCCTTCCCAGTCTGGACACTTTCACCCCCTTCCCAGTCTGGACACTTTCACCCCCTTCCCAGTCTGGACACTTTCACCCCCTTCCAATCCGGACACTTTCACCCCCTTCCTGTCCGGACACTTTCACCCCCTTCCTGTCCAGACACTTTCACCCCCTTCCTGTCCAGGCCAATTTTCAGCTTTCAGCGCGGTCATGTGACACTAAATCTATATGAGAATTTTTAGCATTTTTTTGAGACAGATAAAGCTTTATTTTGGTGGTATTTATTCACCACTGGGATTTTTTTTTGATATGTAAATTAAAAAGTCCAACAATTTTGAAAAAAAAGTGTTTTTCTTATAAAATTTTGCAAATACAGGTGAAACTCCAAAAATTAGAATATCGTGCAAAAGTTCATTTATTTCAGTGCAGCAACTTAAAAGGTGAAACTAATATATAAGATAGACTCATTACATGCAAAGCAAGATAGTTCAAGTCGTGATTTGTCATCATTGTGATGATTATGGCTTACAGCTCATGAAAACCCCAAATCCACAATCACAGAAAATGAGAATATTACATGCAATCAATAAAACAAGGATTGTACATAGAACAATATCGGACCTCTGAAAAGTAGAAGCATGCATATGTACTCAGTACTTGGTTTGGGCCCCTTTTGCAGCAATTACTGCCTCAATGCGACGTGGCATGGAAGCTATCAGCCTGTGGCACTGCTGAGGTGTTATGGAAGACTAGGATGCTTCAATAGCGGCCTTCAGCTCTTCTGCATTGTTCGGTCTCATGTCTGTCATCTTTCTCTTGGCAATGGCCCATAGATTCTCTATGGGGTTCAGGTCAGGCAAGTTTGCTGGCCAATCAAGCACAGTAATCCCACGGTCATTGAACCAGGTTTTGGTGCTTTTGGCAGTGTGGGCAGATGCCAAGTCATGCTGGAAAATGAAGTCAGCATCCCCATAAAGCTCATCTGCGGAAGGAAGCATGAAGTGCTCCAAAATCTCCTGGTAGACTGCTGCGTTGACCCTGGACTTAATGAAGCACAGTGGATCAACACCAGATGACATGGCTCCCCAAATCAACACAGACTGTGGAAACTTCACACTGGACTTCAAGCATCTTGCAGTGTGTGCCTCTCCATTCTTCCTCCATACTCTGGGTCCTTGGTTTCCAAATGAGATGCAAAAGTTGCTCTCATCAGAAAAGAGGACTTTGGACCACTGAGCAACAGACCAGGTGTGTTTGTCTTTAGCCCAGGTAAGATGCTTCTGATGCTGTTTGTTGTTCAGGAGCGGCTTGACAAGAGGAATACGACATTTGAAGCCCATGTCCAGGATCTGTCTGTGTGTGGTGGCTCTTGATGCACTGACTCAAGCCTCAGTCCACTCCTTGTGAAAGTCCCCAACACTTTTGAATGGCCTTTTCCTGACAATCCTCTCCAGGATGCGGTCATCCCTGCTGCTTGTGCACCTTTTTCTTCCACACTTTTCCCTTCCACATAACTTTCTATTAATGTGCTTTGATACAGCACTTTGGGAACATCCAACTTCTTTTGTAATTACCTTTTGAGGCTTTCCCCTCCTTATGGAGGGTGTCAATGATGGTGTCAGGTCAGCAGTCTTTCCCATGATTGTGATTCCTACTGAACCAGATTGAGAGACCATTTAAAGGCTCAGGAACCCTTTGCAGGTGTTATGGCTTAATTAGCTGATTAGAGTGGGACACTTTGAGCCGAGAATATTGCACCTTTTCACAATATTCTCATTTTCTGAGATTGTGGATTTGGGGTTTTCATGAGCTGTAAGCCATAATCATCACAATGATGACAAATCACGGCTTGAACTATCTTGCTTTGCATGTAATGAGTCTATCTCATATATTAGTTTCACCTTTTAAGTTGCATTACTGAAATAAATGAACTTTTGCACAATATTCTAATTTTTCGAGTTTCACCTGTAAATAATCTTTCTTCATGAATCTCGGCCAAAATTTATTCAGTTATCTTTTTAGTAAAAAAAAATAAATAAACCAAATTAGTTTAAAACCAAAAATTATAATTTTTTTTTTTTATCATTTTTATATTATTATTTATGGTTTTTTTTTTACATACTGTCACCCTAGCAGTACAGTGTCACCATGGTGACACTGTACTACTTATGGGGGGTGATGAAGATTGTTTTTTTTTTTTTACACTGATTGGTTTTACACCCATAAAGGATGTAAAAGCAATCATTTCTCCTTCTCTCTGGCTGCATTCCTGCAGACATTGAGAAATACTGTGTGAGCTGTGATTGGTCACAGCTTGTCACATGGTACAAGGCTGTTGTGAATAGCCCTGTACCATGTGATCTGTGTGATCATTTACAGATTTCACACGTAGTAAGCAATGATGTCAGAAGTGACATCTTGCTTACTACTCTTCATGTGATCACTGATTGGGCAATCAGTGATCACATGATCGGGACCTCACAGAAAGGGCCCCTACAGCGATTCGATCCGGAGGACACAGTGGGCACAGGGAGAGCGCACAATCCAAAATGGCGGTCGCCGTTTATGAACAGCAACTCACCCCTACACTGCCACCGTCTGGCCGGTTATATACAGCGGCCAGATGGGAAGTGGTTAATATGCAGCCTCAGGGCTGATCGATGCAAAATTTCCATGAATACTTTATGAAAATCTGCCTCATTCGGCTTGCTGTCAATGTTGTCTAAATTCCTTGTGCTGCTGTTCCCGACACACCTCCAGAGCACCAAAGATCCACCACCATGCTTCACAGTAGGGATGGAGTTATTCTTTTCAAAGGGCCTTTTTCGGACCCTTCTGCAGATATAGAACTTTTACAAGGGGCCTTCAAGTCAAACCGGGGCTTTTGAATTCATATGAGAGAACAAATTTCATGGAGTGGAAACTGCATTTATTTTTCAAACATACTCCCCTGCTACATTTACACACTAGGGATGCACCGGTACCGATGTCAGTGCTGATACCGAGAATTTTCATGACTGCTCGTGAAAATGCTCCCGTTACAGGAAACCCGATGCTTTGCAGTGCGATTTGCGTCAATACAAATTGCGCCGCAAAAGGTTATTATGCAATTTGAACAGGAATGCGATTCCTGTCCAAATCGCATGCAGTTTCCCTACTGCTCCTGTGTGAACCCAGGCTTGTGAAAACCTAAGCTCACACAGGAACGGTGCGAGAAACTTCCCA